AAAGTGCCAGTGTACCAACCCAGATTGTTTAATTTATTTCTTAGTCGCATTTCAGGCTTTCCAAATGTAAATCAACTGCAAGAAAAAAACGCTATCAAATCGGAACAATGTACTAGAACAACTTCTGCGAGTAACTTTGGTCAATTTTGAAATAAATTGTTCACACGTTTAGGTTAGTAATTTTCTGCGAATGTGCTTTCAATGTAAGGCACTTATGAGCTGGACTTTAAAAGTTAGCTGAATAATTTCAGACATAAATACCTGATTTCTGAGATTTTCTCTTCCTCTTTTGCTTTCCTTCTTTCTGTGACTTCGTTTCATCCTCTTCTGCCATCTGTGTTTTGCCTGTTATTCAAATATTGTCAACACCAAAGATACGTTATCAAATACTCTCTAAGTCAACAATCGTTTAAACTACAATGTTGCTTTCACTTACTTAATTTATTCACCATGGTGGAGACTACATAATTGGTGAATGTAGCGTCCTTTGCCAGATCTGACATTTGTGGAGAGAAATGTCTCTCTGGAGTAGCCCCACTGTACCCCAGCCAAACTGAAGGGCAGCCCAATTAATCAAGTTATTGCATCTGTTGACCAATGAAGCAAAGTTTTAATTTGACTAATACGCAATAGCTTGGAACTGTATGTGAAGTTTTAAACAAACACATAACCACTTTCTTAAAGTTATAACCTACCAGCTTCTATACTCTATATGCTCTATACCGACACAAATAATCAGGATAAAATTTGAAGCATAACAGTAGTTCGTATTTGGCTTTGTACTTATAGGAAAGCTGAGTGCTCAGTTGCTTAATCACTATCTTCCGCTANTCAATGCTTCATCCAAATTAACGATACTAATATGGCTTCTAGAGAATTCAATCTTCTTTTGTTAATATGTAAGGTAAAGTGCCAGTGTACCAACCCAGATTGTTTAATTTATTTCTTAGTTGCATTTCAGGCTTTCCAAATGTAATTCAAGTGCAAGAAAAAAAACGCTATCAAATCGGAGCAATATACTAGAACAACTTACGCGAGTAACTTCGGCCAACTTTGAAATAAATTGTTCCCACGTTTAGGTAAGTAATTTTCTGCGAATGTGCTTTCAATGCAAGGCACTTATGAGCTGGACTTTAAAAGTTAGCTGAATAATTTCAGACATAAATACCTGATTTCTGAGATTTTCTCTTCCTCTTTTGCTTTCCTTCTTTCTGCAACTTTGTTGCAGCTTCTTCGGCCATCTGTGTTTTGCCTGTTATTCAAATATTGTCAACACCAAAGATACGTTATCAAATACTCCCCAAGTCAACAATCGTTTAAACTACAATGTTGCTTACACTTACTTAATTTATTCACCATGGTGGAGACCACATAATTGGTGAATGTAGCGTCCTTTGCCAGATGTGACATTTGTGGAGAGAAGAGTCTCTCTGGAGTGGCCCCACTGTACCCCAGCCAAACTGAAGGGCAGCCCAATTGATCAAGTTTTTGCATCTGTTGACCAATCAAGCAAAGTTTTAATTTGACTAATACGCAATAACTTGGAACTGTATGTGAAGTTTTAAACAAACACATAACCACTTTCTTAAAGTTATAACCTACCAGCTTCTATACTCTATATGCTCTATACCGACACAAATAATCAGGATAAAATTTGAAGCATAACAGTAGTTCGTATTTGGCTTTGTACTTATAGGAAAGCTGAGTGCTCAGTTGCTTAATCACTATCTTCCGCTACATTTCAAATTTACGAAAAGTTCACCAGCAGGATGCCTAAAATGCGTGTAATTAGTTATCAGGAAAAAAAGGATCCAAGAAAATTTTATTCGCGCGCAGTCTGACCTTCAGAGTGTTTCACTGAGTATTGAATACGAAGCTGGGTGTGACATACGTACGTTAGTATGTATATTGGCAACAATCTTTCCAATGAGCCGTTGCCTTGGAATCCAAGCCAAGTCTGCTGGGTCAGCAGAGTTTTCCTTGTCTGCCTCTTTTCTCAGCCTCTCCTTTTCCGCAGTCATTAACTGGCGGTAGGCAATATTAGCTTCCTTTTGGACTATGCCAGGTCCATGGCCGTCAGCTAACAACTTGAGAGCTTAAAAAAAAAATGACAATATATAATTATGATTAGAAAAGTTATCTGTGAAGTCAGTGTTATTCAACGCTTTTGTACTGAATTACACTAAGAGCGTAACAAAATCATCCCAAAGAATGCTTTAGTAATTGTTCTAAGAGTTCTGTGTTCCCTTCCAGATAAGAAATAGAAAGAAATTAAGTGATTAAATTAATTTTTTTCTCTCAAACTTGTCATATCCGTCCGCCTAAGCCCCAACGCCGTACCAAATCAATTTGCAGTGCTCAAAGAAGGGTTGCAAAAATGATAAGCAACTCCAAGGTTACAAAAGGATGATTCCGAACATAAAGTATAAACTTACCTTTTTCGCCAGATAAGGAGGAACTCTTAAAAACAGAGTAACCTGATTTTTTCCGCTTTTGACCCGGCACATACTTAGGTGTATTAACCGGGTCTCTTAGGCCCCTCTTAATCGCCAATCCTCTTCTCCTTCTTTCATTTCCTATCCAGTTCTTTGATATAAACAAGAAAGACGTATCAAAGGGGTTTAAATAGCTCCAGAAAAAAAAAACATGCACCTAAAATGTTGATTAGGTGCCTCATTAGCATAATTATCCTCCAAAAAAACCACCCCTACACATTCAACATTTGAGCTTATTTGTGGTCCAGACTATACAAACTCATTTATCATGGCCTGGCTAACCAATCGAAAGTAAGGAATTGTAATATTGATACCATGACAAGTTTTTAATACCTTCAGTTACCAGTATTACATTTACATTTTAGGATAGGCGGCTTGGGCTGCGTAAAAAGAGGGCAGATTTAACAAGACCAGTTTAGATAATAGACAATACTTCTATTAGAGTGATTAACGCTTAGCTAACATCAGCTACTTCAACATACCTTGATCGTTGTTTCTGTTAAACCTGTGACTTCCATCGTTTTAAAGATCTTCCACTTGTCCCCTACACTGGTCAGGCCAGCCTCCCACAATGCACGCAAGTTATCAACCCGTGCCTTACCTAAATTGGTTGGTGGCATCTG